CCCCAAAACCCCAAAACCCCAAAACCCCAAATTTCAAAATCTATTATCTACCTAACAAATGTAATTTATCGAAATAAAGATATTTGATATTAAATCAAAGTTTTCCTTGTAAAATAGGCAAGATATGCTCCTTGAATCCTGGAGCAAGCTCATTCTAATTAAGTTTTGAATTTCTAGCTTGGTCTAATATAGTCCTAAAATATAATTAAATAAGTTTAAATTATCCTTACTCAGCAATATCTCCATATTAGTTTCCAATACTTGAAGTTATCTATTGATCTGAAATGTCAAAACTCTCAATGATTGATATAGTCTAGGGTCTCAATTTATTAATAAGTTACTTTAGAGTTTCTTGTATCAAAGTAGCATGACCTGCCTTGAAGTAACCACAACTGTAAAGTATAGATGAATCTTTAGTCAATTCCATAAGGCCATAAATATGAATCAAGTCTATCAAATGAGACTTCAAATTAGTGCATTTCATGGAATCTTTGTTTTTCTCGAGGAAATGGCAAGATGACCAAACTGAATAGTAAGCTAAATGATAGTTTGAGAGGATTATCTGATCTTATTAAAATACTTCGTTGATAAGTTTAGCTTTACTCATTTTAGACTTTTATATCTTCATACCATCATTGATAGTTTTGTGAATAAAGAAAGCTGATCTTACTCTTAGTGCATCTAATACAGATTCTAATTTAGAGAGATCTTAATGCTTATTTATTACTGGCAGATTCAAAAATTGCTAAGGAAGGTCATTTAGATAAGTCAAGGCATCCTCCTTATATTTCTTATTTTTAGATACTCCATCAATAATGTACCTAGCACTCTGCTATAACATCACAGTATTGTCTCCTTCATAAGTAACTTAAGCTGCATATTCTTGAATTAAAGATGGCAGACCAGATGATGACAAGTAACCTGCACCTCCACATGATTCTCTTAGCTTTGACATAGTCTCATATGAATTTTGTGTGTAGTTAGCTTTAAGCCCTGAAACTAAGTGGTGAATCACTTTGAGGGGTTTGAAGTTATCACTTCCCTTTTCAAGATCCAAAATATACGCCTAATAGATGTTGTTAATGTGATTTCTTGCTAGATTCTAGACCACAACTTAAGCAATAGCAGGAATAATCTTAAACTAATGCGACTAGTAATCCAAAAGCTTTCTTTCTATCTTTTTATCGCTATCGAGAGTATTGAATTACCTTCTAACTACTGAGTATCTTCCAGCAATCAGAACAGATTAGCCAAGGTACATCCAAGCTGAAATCATTATCCAAACTCTGATGCCTAGCATGACTGAGTAAAGTAGTCGAGGATCCCCATCTAACTCCATTTTTCCTTCTCTATCGACTCTACAATATTTCATCATCTATAATTAGAGATTAAATCCTAACATTAATTATCATACCATATTGGTTCTAGGGATTCTAACATTCTTGAAAATTATAAACCCATTATCTTTTGAGTTATACCCAATTTTAGGTCCTATGTCCCCAGCATCAATTCCTGGTAAAGTTTCATGTGTTTCCTTATCCCTTATCTGAACGATGAAAAATTGTACACCATAATCATTTCCATCTATAATAAGTCTTGCACATAATGCGGTGTAGTTGGCAAACTTGCCGAGTTCTCCTGGCCAGAATTTAGCAGAGGTCAGAGTTGGGGAGTTAATAATAAACTGATCAGTTTCTTTATCAAAAGTTGCTGTTGTCTCCAATGCCTGTAATCGTCATAAATTAAAATTGATGACGTCTATGTTAAAATTTTTACTTACAGCTACGTTAGAGCCATGACCAAGCTCAGTTTAGGCATAGCACCCCATAATTCTTCTATTTGTAAGAAGCTCTCTCCAATATACTCTTTGGTCTGGTAGAGATAAATTGGTTACTACTAAATTGAACATTGAAAAGCTGATAGCAAAGGGAACCTATAATTGATATCATGAAATGAATATATCATCATTGAATTACCTATCCTTGTAGATATTCAGCAATACTAAGTTCACTCTTAAAGTAGTAATCTTTCTCTACCTCTATTATCTCTGTTTTACCACTTGCCTCCACTACTTTCATAGCATGTATCATTTACTAATTTCTATCCATATCATAATAGTCAGGATTTCCATGAAGAGTAGGATTATCATTGATTATTTTCTAATATTTTTTGTGGTTCATGTATGAGCTACCATAGAAAATTTTTGTAAGTTCCTACTAGTCGAAATCACACTTTTGTCTCTCTTCTAGTAAATCTGGATTAACCCTTCTAGCTGAGACACTTCCATGTGCTTCAGAGAATTAAGGAAATGATTTATTCGTAAGGACAGTCTTATTTTTTGATACTTTTTTATCCATGTAAATATGTAAATTCGAACTATTTAGTAAATAACCTTTTATTTGAGGTTAAATATTAATCAAAATTCCTTCTACTCAGTCATCATGGGGTTTTGGGGTTTTGGGGTTTTGGGG